TCAATCATTCCCAATCATTCTCATTCATCCGGGAACCAATTTACATGGGAAGGGTACAATGAATCATATTGTTGCAACATGGGATGCCCAGGCAGAGGACACAAGATGGAGGCTTGACATATAAAATGGAAACTTGACATGACTTTGGTTCACTTACAAACACAGGCCTAAACCATACAATATCCATATGAAACAATAAAAATCAATATGAAAATGATAATAATACAATATACAACAGTAAAAATCAATACAAACCTAATAATAACACAATATACAACAGGGGATATCCAAAACCAAAAACTTGCTACCAAAATAAAAATGTTTAAAGCTTATCCTAAGTCTGAGCTCGCTTATACCTATCTATAAGGAATAGAGAGGGAGAGAAAAAGTCAGAAATGGTTGGTAAGGGGAGGGAATGCATTTTAAAATTTAAAAAAAAAAGGAAAAACAGGGGAATTTTGCTACAAAGGTGCTCCCAAAAGAATGGCTTACCATACCACAAGGCAGTGTGTTCACCCTACTTTTATTCAACATCTATGTTAATGATCAGCTACTTCCTGTCAAATGTCAGTGTTTCATCTATGCTGACAGTCTGTCCACACAGCAGATACTGGAGAGGGCACTGAATGAGATGTCAGATTATTACCTAAATAATTATCTCGAGCCCAACCCAAGCAAAACCCAAATCTGCACTTTCCATCTGAGGAACCGGGATACAGAACAACACCTGAATGTCACCCGGGTGACTAGAGTCTCGACCAAGAAACGCTTGGTCTACTTAGGGGTAACATTGGACTGTATACAGCAAAAGCTCGGTTATTTGGCATCCCCCGGGAATGGGGGATGCCAGATAACAAAATATGCCGGCTAATTGAGCGGCCCCGGCCACCGCTTCTCCTGCCACGTCTGGGGCGTCCCTCCGCCCCTCCCATGGCATCGCCATCCGTCCCACGGGCCCCACAGGACAGGGAGGCGGGCCCTGCACAGCCTTGTGCAGACTATTATGCCCCTGGGCCGTGGGGGCTCGGCAGCACAGGCTGCTTTGCCCAGGGCCGTGGGGGCTCAGAGAAACCAGAAGTGCCTCAGTGGGCACTTCCAGTTTCACTTTATCTTTCAAGCCGGCATGCCGCTTAATGGAGCATGTCAGCTTGTAAGATGCCGGATAGCGTAGCTTTTACTGTACTTTGTTACAAAAAGCACATATTAAATACCAAAGCCCAGGTCAACACACAAAACAACATTCTGCATAAGTTTGCAAATTCCAAATGGGGAGCACATCCATCTACCCTATGCACTACTGCCTTATCACTTTGTTTCTCTGTGGCTGTGGCTGTATATGCCTGCACTGCCTGGGGACGCTCAAGTCACAGTAAACATATTGACACCACTCTAAATGATACATGCAGAATTATAATAATAGGCGGCTGAAAACCCACCCCTGTCCCCTGCTTATATGCGCTATCTGGCATCGTGCTGGCATAGCCCCCTTATAGCAGGAGGAAAGTAGCAGGCAATATTGATTGTCAGGTACAAGAATCAGACGACCGCCACCTGCTATATGGACATCAACCAGTGCACCATCATCTCTCAACCAGCGCACCATCATCTCTCATCGAGAAATAGCTTTTTGTCCTCTATCACACCATTAACCACATCACCAGAATCAGTCAGAACTGTCCTCTGACAAAAAAGAATGGTAGAAACTAGGCAACAAAGCTGTTGAATGGAGCTGGCGAGGAATTACCCCCAGTGAGGAGTTAGCATCTGGCTCCAACTGCAAATGGCACACATGGCAAAGCCTGAACAGATTGAGAGTGGATCTCGGACAATGCAACTTTCTCATGAAATCATGGGGCCTCTATGCAACTGACAAATGTATTTGTCAGAAGAAGCAAACCATGGATCGTCTCCTGAAATGCCCTTTAGCACCCGACAAGATCTGGCAACACCAACATCAGATACAGTGCCCTGTGCAGAATATTTGAAGGTTGGATTGGAGGTGCAACAAAGAAGCAGCTTAATTTCTTCCATCCAGCAATAGCTATTTTTTACTTTGAGTCTGAGAGTCTTTGGTAAGCCTGTTATAGCCAGCAAAAGAACTAATCTTCATGTGGTGCATGTCACTTCCATTGAAATGTAGGCCTACAGTCACACTGTATGGACATTTTTCTTTGTTTGGCTTACTATGAGTTCCGGATAGAGGACCAGAGCATGTTAAGGATGGGGTAGGGTTGGGTGAATCTCTGCTACTCCTGGTCCTCCATTGTCAGAAGTTAGAGTAAATCCCCTATTGTTTTAACTTCTGCTAGGGCAAGGGTGATGATAATTAAGGAACCTCAGCCTATCCCTGAAAGCCTTTATCCTTTCTCATTTCTAAGTCCACAATCTGGTTATGTGAACTGGAGGACTGAGCCTCGTGTGGCTTGCAGAAAATGAAGGATTTTGTTTTCAGATGGCATGTCCAGGAATTAGCAACAGTATTTAAACACATACTTGTAGTTTGGAAATTGTGTGTAATGAGGAGGGGTGGTCTAATAAGAAGTATGAGAAGTTAAGTATGTGAAGCTTTACGGAAGCTACTGACTCCAAATAAGTTGTCTTTTAAAGCCTGAAAAGTCTCCAATAGCAGCTGTGCCAATTTTCATATAGCTGATTCAACTCACTTAGATACAATTTTCAGAGAGTGACAGGAGATGATAATCCAGTATGGCAAAACTGGTGGCAGAAGTAAGAAAAAGTAGATTAGATTTATGGGGCGGGGGGGAGGAATAGCCTCAAAACCACTGAATCCTATAACCAACAGGCTTGAAGGTTTTGGCTCAGGTGCTCCTACTGCCAAAGTTGTTTGTTTCAAACAAATCTTGGAACACCATAGAGCACTGGAAGAGAAGTAATATTGTGCAAATATTTTTAAAGGATAAGAGGAAAGCCTGAGTACATATAGCCAGGTTAGCCTGACATTGACCCTTTGCAAAACTATAGAAAACCTGCTTTGGAGTGCAATCAGTAAGGAATTAAAGAATGATCACATAATTAGTGCAAATCAACTTAATTTCATGACAAACAGATCTGTCAACCAATCTTAATATACAGCTTGTTTGGTGGAAGTAATGGATATACGGTGTCTTAACACACTATAAGATTTTGGCCAATAACAGCCTATGAAACTGATGAAGCTCATTGATAGATCCAAAACAGGGCTGTGCAATTCTTTTGGGAGGAGGGCCACTTACTGAGTTTTGGCAAGCCATTGAGGGCCACGTGACAGGCAGCCAAGGGCAGATAAATATTAATTTTCTAAATATTTTAGGGGCCCCACGGGCTGGATAGAATGGCCTGGTCCAAAAAGTAATTGTGAAGGAAAAGTTATCATCCAGTGAGGGCAGGCTTAGTGGGCACTCCACAGGAATCTATTCTTGGCTCAGGGTTTTCAAAAATCATTTCAGTTATCTAAAATCACTTCTGGTAAAAATTTTCAGGTGAAAGAAATTGGTAGCTGGTAACTAATGCTAAGAACAGTTAAGCATTACACACCAATACCATTATATGTGGCATAGTGAGACAAGAGTTGGAAAACTGCATCCAGTACTAATGCCCACAATTTACTAAGGATGTTGACAAATTGGAAAGGCTTCAGAAAAGCACTACAATAATTATTAGAAAATGTGCTTCACACCTACAGAATAAAGTTGAAAGATAAGGTTGAAAAGACTTCATCACAGCCTGTATCTGCACATGGGCAGAACACTTCTTATATTATAAAGATGCTGAATGTAGAAGGCAAATCATAACCAGATCCAGTGACTGGAACCTGCAGCCAGACAAATTCAACTTTGAAATAAGTTCCAGATTTTTAAAACTGAAAGCAGTTAACCACTAGAACAATTTACCTAGGGATTTGGTGGATTCTCCAGACTCTGATCTTTTTAGATCAAGACCATCTGTTTTTCATAAAGATATGCTGCAGTTCAGCCAGAGGTAATGGGTTTGATGCAGGGTTCATGGGATGGAATTTGATGATCTGTGTTCTGCAGAAGGTCAGATTACATAATTTAATGGTCCCTTCTGTTCTTAAATATTGGAATTTTTGTTTTATTTTTCTTATTTAATAGAGCTAAGAAAGAAGCTGGGCTTTTTGATGATAGATTAATCGGTAAGGATAGCAGGGAACCTCTTGTTCATCAGTTGCAACTCCCTGCATCAAAGAGGTGGGGTGATGCACTCTGCTTTTTATTTACTTACTTTACTCTTGAAAATAACTAAAGGAAATTGCTTCTTCTGCGTTTCCCTGAGTTCTATGAATTTCTGTATGCATGGTAGTTCTGATTGTGGGCCACCATCCAATTCACCTCACATCAACCGTTGCTGAGTTTTCTAGCTCAATTAAGCCAGACCAGACCTAAGATTTTCAGATATTCTTGTTAGCCTAAGCCTCTGTTCATCCTTAAGACCTCTTTTAGCTTGATTAATCATGTTCATGGGAAGAGATGATGTTTCCATTTTATTAGTCTACACTTTTATTTTGGAATTTCAATTTGAAATGGAGAATAATTGGCTTTTTTTTCCCTCTCTTTTAGGGCACCAATGCCTCTGCTCTGGAAAAAGACATTGGCCCAGAGCAGTTCCCAATCAATGAACATTACTTTGGATTGGTCAATGTAAGTACCATTTCAGTAAGGTGAACCATGTACTGTTTTATAGTGAACCATAGTTTTGAGGACCATAAAGATTCTTTTGTTGTTTTGATGCAGTTTTAATTTCATATACTTCCTTTTTAACACTGCTGTGGGGTTCAGTTTGTTCCAGGGAGGATTTTGGCTAACGTACTTAAAGTGATTTGTAGCTGTATCAAATACTTCAGACCAGTTACAATTCTGAAGACCAGACCATTCCAAAAGTTGTTTTTTTTAACAGCCTAACTAATACATAAATGAGACTCAAACAAGTACTGTTTGCATCAGTATCAGTGGGAATTTACTACTGATTTGGGGCCCCTTGAGAACATACTAGTTTATGGGAATGATTACCAAAGAGATTCCTACTGCAGTTAATACGTTAAGATTTTCTTTACATTTTAAGCTTTCATTTTCAGTCCTAGTCAGATAAATAATAGTCACATTTATACTTTGTTTTTCCTGAGTGGCTGTCAATACAAGGTGTGGGACCCATATTGATAGCTGTGTGGTCATTAGGGTGGTCTGCTACAAGGGACACAATCAAGTAACTAGATTATGTTCCGTTGCACAAGGATTAAGGGTTTTTTTGCTTTTACTTTGGCAGTTTGGGAACACCTGCTACTGTAACTCCGTGCTGCAGGCATTGTATTTTTGCCGGCCATTTCGGGAGAATGTGCTGGCATACAAAGCCCAACAGAAAAAGAAGGAAAATCTCTTGACTTGCCTGGCAGACCTTTTCCACAGTATTGCCACTCAGAAGAAGAAAGTTGGAGTGATTCCACCAAAAAAGTTCATTTCAAGGTTACGAAAGGAGAATGGTGAGTGAAACTTTTTAGGAGTTCATGTAATAGGTGAAATTGGTGAAAAGAATCACCAGTGTGGCTAAATTAATCAAATATTCAGTTAGATATCTAATAAGCTTTTAGTACTTTCTGCTTCTTAGATATGAATTATTTTGTGTGCACGTGTGTGTATCTACATACTCACAGCATGTATATATGTGCATGTAATATAATATTTGATGACAAATATACCCAGTTTGTAATCTTCCATGGGCACATAGATTGTCTAAGAAGTTTTCATTACAGTAAGGGCAAGACTATAGCAACCTAGCGTAAGCCATGAGTGGGGAGATAGAGGGACCTGTATCAAGCACCTCTCTGCAGGGGTTTTCTGTCAGGGATCACAGAAAGGGATATTGTGGGGAGGTGGGAAAAGTGTGAAAATTAGGTCTGTGAACACTGTTAGTACAAAACACCACAGGCATTGGTGGTGTATGTATGTGCATAGAGAAAGCTGCATCTGCTGCTTCCCCTCATTCCCAGAAGTAGTGGTGGTAATCCAGTTTCACTGAGCACTGGGCCTTATTTGTTGGTAAGAGGCGTGTACTCCATTTTAAGCAACTGCTCTGTTCAGTGTGTAAGGGCATGTGAGAATAGGAGAGTTCTTGATAACACAGTTTAATTCTGCTTAGGAGCCGTATCAGTGTGGGTGACAGCCCCACAGACGATACGAAGGAAAATGGTCTATATATCTATAGCCCCATGCCTGATGGACAGCCGCATGTGCCTTGGTAAGAATGGCATTAAAGGGATAAAAATACAACTATTTGGGGAACTGAAATACCTGCTTCATCAGGAAGAGGAGATGGGGGATATCCAAGCCCCCAGTAGGAAAAAAAGTATTGGTGGACATTCTGCAACTGGATCTTCTTAGACTTTTCTTTAGGGATGCCTCCCACATGTTTCTTGTAAGTGGGGGCAAAGTGGCTCATTATGTATTGACTTTTACTGGCAGACAAGATGATTCAGAAAGTGTCTTCAGGAGCAGTGTACCTCCAAGATTGCAATATGAAAGCGGTACATAAAATAAAAATAGCTCTATTAAACCTAGGTCTCAATCCAGTAACATACTTCATACATACCTAATTTTAAGCGTCTGACTAGTTCTGTTGAAATTGGTAGGGCTACTTATCTGCTTTAGTTACGTATGTTTTATGTGCCTTGTTGAATTGGTAAGCATATTTGGGAAGAAAATCTGAATTTAGGCATATTCATTTCTGCATGGAAAAAAACTGTTTGGAGATGGGCACAATCATATGACTTTGTCTTTTGCAGATCTCTTTGACAACTACATGCAGCAAGATGCACACGAATTTTTAAATTACTTGCTAAACACCATTGCAGACATCCTACAGGAGGAGAAGAAGCAGGAAAAGCAAAATGGAAAATTAAAAAATGGCAACATGAATGAAACTGAAGAGAACAATAAACAAGAACTCACCTGGGTGCATGAGATTTTTCAGGGAACACTGACTAACGAAACTAGATGTTTGAACTGTGAAACCGTAAGCATTGGGGTGGTTGTTCTTACACATTGTTTTTACACATATAGATAAATATATGTATAAAATATGTGAATCTATTCAGCCATCTGAGAAATGTGAATATTCCTGTATTTTCTTTACTTCTTGAAGTGAGTATATTCTTTTCTAAAAGTATATTTTTATAAGCATCACTTGGCTACCCTGCCCCAAACCTTGCAATCATAAATATATATCTATATAGTTAGATACCTCATTAGCTGATCTGGTGCTTCCTGTTATCACCTATCATATTTATAAATAAAACAGATAAGAATGCTGCAGCCGTGGGCAATGAATTTGCCTTGTTATTCCATAAGTTAGGGATAACTGCATCACTCACAAGTGGCAAAGTGGAGATTCAGTTGTGTTAATTCATCCTAGGAATGTCATTAGCACAGACAGATTGTATTGGGTTATTTTATTCATTGTTTTAAAGGACGCTTTCAACTTGAAGTCTCATATGTTTGAAAAATGAGTACAAGATAGTTCCAGTACCACACCTGATTGTACACCCCCTGCCAGTTTTTGTGGTTTTTTAGTCACATTTTCCTATTTTAATAAATTTTGCTGTCTCGGCTACTGTTGTATGTGAGGACCCCATAAACAACAGGGGAAAATGAATGCAAGAGGGAACAATGAAAATAGACTATTCACTGGTGCTGCCAGATGTACACAGCACCAAATCTGATCCCTCCCAATCACAAGATAGCATAGTTCTCCACCAAAATCCCACAGGAAGTGGAGAGTAAGTTGCTACTCAGCATGCTCAAGGGTTTGTTTAAATTGCTATCTGACGCTCCCAGGGTGCCGTTGCCAGTCACACCACTCCCATCTGTTTCGGCTCTGCATGAAACAAACTTGAAAATGTAATGGTGGTGAATGGTGGTCCTCCATCCCCTTCTACTGCTCTCAACATCTCTGTGTTCAGTTGCCATCACCACAGCTTTATTTCCAGGTTTGGCATGTACAGAGTAAAAGTAGGTGGGAAGGTCATGCTTGAAAACAGCTACCCAGAAGCACTGGGGAAGTAGTGTGGAGATAAGTGGATCAGAATCTGGAAACCAGACTGGAAAAATTAGGAAATAATCGGGAAATTAGACTGGAAACATCTGGGAAAAAAGCTTGTTCTGCTCTAATCTGTTTCACTTATAATAATACTAGTAAGAATCACAAGTTTAAGAAATCCCCCCCAAAATAAAAGGTGATTTTTTAAAAAGTTGACAGTCTCCTTTTAGACTGGTATGGCCAAATCCTACAAGAGCGGAGGGAGGTATTTAGTTGTGTTAATCTGAAGTCAGGTAGAAAGTAAGGTAAATTTGCACCTTATAAACTAACTAAATCACAGCTTTGGTGAACATGAGCTCACTTCATTAGATTCTGCAGAGCACATACATTCATTGCTTACTCAGGCAAGCTCCCACTGGCTGTGCCCAGGCAAGTGCGGATGTGCAGTATGTGGCGCGCACAAACGGGTCTGTGGTGACACATGCCACACCTGCAGGCATTCCCTGTGCTGCTACCTTGAGCATGGGTGGGGGTTGGCCCTGGGAGAACCTGGGGTCAAAAAAACCCATGCCTTAAAAAAGCAGGGTAGTGCATGTGGCGGTAACGCGCGCTGCCCAAAACTGGAGCCTGGCCTGCTGGAGCCATGCTCTGGCTGCCAGCCAGGCTCCCAGCTGCAAGAGTGCCATGGCTGCAGCTCCCCAAGGCCCCCAGAAGCCCAGGTAAGGCTGCTTGGGGCAGCACAGTTGCTGGCCCCATCTTCCCCTACCCCCATCCAAGGTATCCTGCTATGCGATAGGCTGCACGTGGCACAGGCATTCCCTGGGGACAAGTAGCAATGGCACTCGTCCCTGAGGAAACAAATGGCCGTGCTCATCTGAACGTGGCCACTAAAGCCAACTTTTGCAGAACTGCAAAATGCCATATGTGTAATGTCCTAGTGATTCAGCAGTGGGAAAATTTGCTCATTCAGACTGCTGTGGTAGGAAGATTGATCCTGTAGCTTCTCAAGGCTGCAGGAAAAATGTATTTTCTAGCTTGTATGATGGAATCTTTGTGTATTGTTGGTCTCAATCTTTGGAAAGCAGCAGAACAGATTAATAGATGTACATTTATCTCTGTTGTAGTATAAATATTCAGATAACAGCTGTCATATTATCACTTGTTAACAATGTAGATAGAATCCAGTCTTCCGTTCACTTTACAATATACTGTTCCCTGGATCCAGACTGGAAGTCTCCCCTACACTTTCTCTGAATGTTTGGTACTGCACCTATTGAAACAATTGGCAAAATTCCTACTTACTTTCATGCCAACAAGACCAGGCACTAAACCCTGTGAATGGTTTGATGCCTACTCTTGTTCTTAACATTTGGTAAGCCAAACAGGACTTGATTTACTCTTCATTCCAGCTGCAGACACACAATGTTCTCTGAAGTTTTGATGTTCTGTCTTTTGAATTCTAGCTCAATGTTTACACTGCCCTAAGATGTTGCCAGTTTTGTGGTTTCCTATGTATGTATTCAGGATGCAATTGCATCTTGGAGAGGACTTTTGTTTGAAGAGCTGCAGTTCATTGTATTTGGATATATTTCGTAACTCTATGCATCTTCAGTTGGATCAAAATTCCTCAGAATCAGTGTGCAGGTTCTGGGCTGAGCTGGGCTAGATTCACCATGTCAGTAGGGTTGAGGGTGCAAAGATGGGTCCAAAGTAGAACATTGATTCCGTAACGCCTTGGATTTGGGGGATCTGAATCAGAGTTCTATGGCTCAGAACCAACTCTGGCATTTATTCTAGAATATTGAATTCTGTTCCTCTCCAACTTTGGAGAAGTTTGGATCCAAGTCTGTCTTTGAATTTTGCTTTTCAGTCCCATCTCTAGTTATTCCAGAAGCCACTTCCAGCAGTTCAGAATGTTCTGTCTGTGTGCGCTGTTTGTATAAACAAGACTGTTTTTTACAAAAGTAGCCAAAATCAGCTTGTAGGGTAATCCTGCTGCAAACTCAGTTTCTTTCAGAGCTGCCTAGCACATGACAAGAATTCTTGGACCACTGCATGGCCTATTCCAACCATACAGTTGGTCCAATAAAATATGTTAATTCTTGCCCCTCACAAATTCCCTGGACCATCACAGTAACAACATCACCTCAACACTACCTAGTACATAACCACCTTTCTATATTTTGGAGATCTCCCTCAAAAAAATAGGGTTTTTTTCTGAAAATATCAAAACATTTCAATATAGTCAGAATCGCTTTCTCCATCTTTTTTTCCTGAACATCATTAATTGAAATAAACATGACTTTATAGTTTACATCTTGACAGGTTTCTTCCAATGGAAAACTCCTCCTCCTCTTCTATTTTTCATTTTGCTGCTTCTTGGATGAGCATCTAAAGGTCATAAATTAACTGAAAATTGGCTGCTACAGAAATATGGTGCTGAGAAGCCATATGAGCAGATGTAGTGGTCAAATGAACAGATGTAGTGGTCACTTGAGTATGATCAGCGTATGGAAAAGGTGCCAGACACAGAACTGGTTGGTATAAAAACCGGGTGAATGGGTTTACCAATACAGTGAATATACTTGTATAAACCCAGACATCTTTTTCAGAAGAGATTACGATGAGTTAGTTTTTTGCTATTTACATCTGTAATAATTGTTCCAAGTGTAAACTATGATGTACTTAAGTTTCTGATACATTTAGAATGTGTCTTCTTACTGTGTATATTTTACATATATGGTTTTTGTTACAGGTTAGTAGCAAAGATGAAGATTTTCTTGACCTTTCTGTTGATGTGGAGCAAAACACATCAATTACTCACTGTCTAAGGTAAATGAATGGTAGTTTCATAAATACATTTTATATTTCTACTCAACTCTGCTAAGTTCTGCTAGTCTAGGAGAGAGAAAATAAAAGCTATGTAAACATCAGTTTATTAGCATTTTTAACAAGGTATTTCTGAGCAGCAGTAGACGAGACTAAATAGGATATTCATATAACAGCAGAATACCGAATAAGAATATATTTTACTGTTTGGTATCTTACCATGAGTGCAGGAGAGAGAAGAAAAAGATCCTTCAGAATAACAGTTGGATTCTTTGGGATTTTTGCTCAACTTTAGTGCTCAAGCACTTTGCTGGTTAAAACTTATGCGTGTACCAAAATTGAAGCATGTGTTGTGCTAAACGGGCAGCCTAGCTCCTAGACACAAGCGATTTAAAAAAAAAAAATCTGTTGCTTTGTGTATTATTCTGCAATTAAAGGCGAAAAGTAATCCTGTTTATTTGCAAGTTCCCATTCTGTAGCAAAGCTGTAGTACAACAGAATCTGACAACTTTTTAACTATTATCCCTGAAAGTTGCATTTTAAATGCCATGTTTAGAAGGGCTGGTTGTACTGGGTGGATTTTAAATATCTTGAGTCTTGGCACTGAGTCGTATAAATCAATATGTGTATTTAAACACTATGTTTTGCTTAATCCAATGATATCAACAGACCAAAATTTACTTTTAGGCTCTAGAATTACTTTTGAACTTTTAAAAATACATCTTAAAAAAATCTTCAGAGTTTAAGGGAGACCTCCTTAACGTTGCACACAAACTAAAATTGAGCAGAAAGAGAGCAGTGAGGAGTGAACAGCTTCCTGAACCAAACAGAAGTGATCCATTCCACAGAGAACTACTGCCAACATCTTGGAAGTTAATATTTCATTTTAAAAACCTTTAGATTTAGGGTTGTTCTCTCAGTATCATCCTATCATAGGATTTTGTAGTGATCCACACCTTCAGAACATCTCACCATCAGTGTAATAAGTTTAATTGCTAAGCTAAGAAAACATTTCTTGCTTAAAAAGGGCTCTCTTTTCCAAGGGAGCATACTAGCAGTTCTTTTTTAAAAAAGGGTACATTTTGAACCTGAGATTCCTATGGTCAGATAATCTTGCCAAGTAGGTTGGGAGGGGACCTCATTAGATCATGTAGTGCAGCTGCCTGCTCAAGACAGGATTGTCCTTAGCTTGTTAATGTAGAAGTTGTGGGAGAAAGTGTCCAAAGCCTTGCTGAAGTCAAAAACTACATCATATCTACTGTTCTCCCCACATCCACATAGCCTATCACCTTATCATAGAAAGAAATTAGGTTAGTCAGGCATGACTTACTCTTGATTAATCCATGCTGGCTGTTCCGGATCACCTTGTTCCCCTTACATGCATCATAATAGATTCCTTGAAGACCTGCTCCATGATCTTTTCAGGTACTGAAGTCAGGTTGACCGGTCTATATTTCCCGAAATTCTCCTTTTTCTGTTTCTTAAAGATGGGCACTATCTTTGCCCTTTTCAGTCATTTGGGACTTCAACTGACCTCCACGAGTTCTCCTTCAGCATTCAGTATTTCTTCAGAGATCCTTCCTAATAGCCAGTCCCATACATACATTACTTTATAGTACAAAGCCATCTACAGGTAACAACTACACAATTTAAGAATCCTCTCCATCTTCCATTGCAGGAATAAAACAGAATCAAAATCATACAAATCTTTTTTGGAAGGTAGCTGCAGATTGCTACTTACAAAATGTGCAAGGCAGAGAATAAGCAACCACTATCTTTTGAGATGGCCTTTTAAACAAAGAAAAATCTCTGTTTAATAAGTATAAATAAAGCTGGAATCTGGATTTTTCCTGCCCTTTTTAATACAGTACCCTTCATTAGAAAATGGACATAAATGACTCTGCAGTCTTTGTTTATAGGGAACATGAAGTCTTATTATTTTACTATGCTTACCTGGCTATCTTTTATGAAAATAATCACTTTGGTGCATCTTTACAATATGAATACAGTGTTGAAAAACAGACTAAAATAGAAATATTGCTAGGGGCAATATTTCAATAAAATATGTTTTTCACTTCTTCAGATTAAAATGTTTTCACTACAAGCATTCCTAAGAATACAAGTCTGCAACATAATTCTCTTCCACTGGGTAAAAGATCTGGCAAACTGCAAGAGAAAAATTCTTCTAACAACAAAATAAATTATGCGTCAATTATTTTTATTTCCTCAAGGAGTTGTAAAGACCATTTGACTCGCTGCTTTTGATCCTGACTTCTAACTAAAGTCTTTTTAAACAATTTTTTTTTTCCCGCTAAATATGTTCCTATTTTTATTGGGCACTTAAATAAATAACACCCGCAGGCTTGTCCATCTTCTGGACACAGATAGATGTTTTGACTGCTGGACAGAGCTCACAAAAAAGAACTATGGGATAGGGGGTTTTTAAAGTTCTAAATAAGACTAGTACTGAAAATAATATAAATATAATTCAATCAAATCTTTCTCCATTTAATGAAAAGATTAAAAGAAAGTGTTAAAAGTGTCTTGAAAATAGTATAGCAGTGGTTGGAAATACCTTTCCCCACTCTTGCAATCCTTATGCATACAAATCTTGCTGGAATCCCAGAAGGAGATATTTGCATTTAAGTGCTAAATTTCCATAAAATACTACTACTCCATAAAATACTATTCCTCATTTGGTAAAATAATAGCGAAAGTGAGGATAATGACACCAAAACCTCTTAATACTCTCATAGCTCCCTGACTTGAGATACTACCCATTTGCTCCTAGTCCAGCAAATACTTTAGAACATCCTGATGTTTAAACACAGATAGTCAAAGGGTATACTCATATAATTTAAGTACACATTTAGGGTGTCCATACACGTGCTTTGGGGTGGAGGGATGGGCACTTTAATTAGAGCGGCTCTGAGAGCTGCTCTAATTAAAGCACCCACAGTGTCATGTGTATTCAGTGTCCCATGCTTCAAAATGGTGGCGGGGGCACTTGAACTAAAACATGTTTGATAAGCTTTAGTTCAGGTGTCACCACAGCCATTTTGAAGTGCAGGGACGCTGAATAGAAGTGACACACAAGCTGCTGGAGCGCATTAATTAAGATGCTCCAACAGACTCGAGTCTGCTTCGACGGGTGCTAATTAGCTCACGTCAGAGCAGACATCCATCATGTGTATAGGTGCTGTTAAGGCCTAGATGAAAGGGTTTAAGTAGTACTTGGGTGGCTAATTCCACAACTGCAATCCTCAAAACTCCTTTTTTAGATGTAGCCTAATCCTATAGGTGCCTAAAATCCATTGGTTTGCACTTCAGTTTTTTACAATATGGTTTCCCAGGTATTGAGAGCTGTGTTTCTGGACACAGATGGATGTTAGCTCAAAAGCTGTCTCTCACATTAAAACTCACTGCCATTAAAAAACTGGGTATGTTTCTGCATATATCACCTGAGGGGCTTAATCAAGAAAGTATTCTTAGATCATGCCTACCAGATTGAGTTCAGCAAACATGTAGTGGCAGGAAGTGAAGGTGCACAAAAGGGGAGCAACAGCACTGGGTCCTCCTGTCTTTAAAAGTAAAGAGGGACCCCTGGGACTTAGGAGCCCAGCTCAAGGAGAAGGTTCAGGATTGTGCATCCTGAGTGACAGGAGGCACCTCCTAGGAGGGCTAGAGTAAAAAATCAAAGCCCCAGATAGAGGTAGGGTTTAATATTCCCCTGGTCCTTGCCATTTCATATTCGGTAGTTTGGGTGGCTCCCTACCCAGTGTGCCTTTTTTTATGGATCCCATTCTGAAATGCCTAATTCTCCCCACTCATGGGGAGCTTAGGTGGCTAATGAAAGGTTGTAGATTCTGTCACAGAGACCAAGAAGATTCTTTGGAAATCAGGGCCTGAATGCTTTGCTGCATCAGAATATGTTATAATGTATATGATAAAAGTTTATAATATACATGTTTTAGAAACTGGATAAAACTCCCATTGACTTCAGCAAAGGCAGGATTTCATGCATTGTGTCTAATTTGTTTTCAGTTTGATCAGTGTAAGCATGCCATTAAAGGAAGAATGTTAAGAAATCTTAAGATCTAAGCATTCTCTTTGTTTGCAGGGATTTCAGCAACACAGAAACATTATGTAGTGAACAGAAATACTACTGTGAAACTTGCTGCAGTAAACAAGAGGCCCAGAAAAGGTGGGTAAAGATCAGTGCAGTTTAACCCCTGTTCAAGTAAACTGCCTCTGATGTGAAATACCACTTTTCCCTTTGGATCGTTTTTGAGAGGAGGGATTTTACCACCTCTTTGATACAACTGGCACTTGAGGCTGTTGCAGCTTTCTGCCCACACTTTCATAGAATCCAATGTGATTCTGATGTGAGACAGCACAGCTCCCATTTATTCCCACTTATTTGTGCTTATCTCAAGCCTGAGTTTGACATCCTGAATACAGGCCTCCTTGTGCTCAGGTGTCTTTAATTCTCCCCATACCTCTCCTGGGCAACGGACTTTGAAACTTAAGAGGTGGAGCCAAATGTCTTAGACCTAAACACCATTCCCCAGAAAATTCTGTGTATGTTTAATTGTAAGACTGAGGTAGGAATAGCACTGAAATTCTTAGAGTTTCATGATATACACTCTAAAACCATTACTAATAATTTCATAGGATGAGAGTAAAAAAGCTGCCAATGATCCTTGCATTGCACCTCAAGAGGTTCAAATACATGGAACAGCTACACAGATATACTAAGCTGTCTTACCGTGTGGTATTTCCTCTGGAGCTGCGTCTCTTCAACACATCTGGAGATGCTATCAACTTGGATCGCATGTATGACTTGGTGGCTGTTGTTGTTCACTGTGGCAGGTAAAGTGCATTTGAGTATACCCTAAATTATTATTATATCAAAAGTGATGTCCACGAGAAGCTTTCAGAAGAAATTTCCGTAAAGTCACAAGATTGGCTTAAATACAATGGGCGCATCTACACGTTCATTAATGTGCTTTTTCTACTGCACATTAATTTAGTACCTCTAATGTAAGGTAATAAATAAATGCACATTAGGCTGCCCTAATGTGCAGTAGCGAAAGTGCTTGCTTTTTTTAGTGATGCTTAATGTGCAGTAGCCTATTTTACTGCGCATTAGCATATTAGTATGGGTTTTGATGTGGCTCTACTGAACAGTAAAATAGGCTACTGTGCATTAAAGCACATGTGTAGATGTGTCCAATAAGTCTTTTAAAAACTTCCAGATTCCAACTTTTTCTACAAAAGAATCTGAAATGAAAAATGTTTTCCAGGACTAAAATTCTGTTTCCAGGGCAGGTTTTTTTAAACTAGTAACTGTGGTCTATAGAAATGAGACAGGAGAAATTATGTATGAACGTATTGCCTAATTTCTTTGCCAACACTGTACAGGCATATCCAGAATTTTGGCTTTGGGTTTGAGCTGTGCTAAGTCACTATGATATCAGTGAGAAAACATAGGGGAATAAGGATCTGCCTGGTAAATCTGTTTGCATGTTTGTGGTCTATTTTAGGTTATGTAAAAGTGAATTATTATGAAACACACTGTATGTAAAATACATATATATAATTACAAGCCAGCCCAGAACCATGGGGAATAATGTTCTGGCTTCACTCAGATTTTTTTCAGTTAAGCTGGGACAAATTCAGTCTAATTTAAATAGGTTTATGTGAGCATACCTAAAATTAGAATCTGGCTCTGTTTCTCCATTCCCCAGGCCACCAAGGTTAGAAACACATATAGAGAGTATAGTCAGATTTTAGCAGGAGAGATTGTATATATACTTTTTTTTTACTAAGTGGCTTAGAAGTGGTTTAGAAATCTGACTAATTTTAAGGATTGGTTAGCACTGAAAGAAGAATGGTTTGAATGAAGAATGGTAGCTATAACTGGGGACTACAAGAGTTGGAGATTGCCAAGCATGGAGAATAAGGAAGAAGCTTAGTGAACCAATTGAAATGTGAGCTATTGCCTGCCTTTGGCATCCAGTAGGAGATAATTATTTTTATTTTTATATATAATATCAACCAGCTTTTTTTTTCTTTAAATTTTATTCAGAGTTTTTGAAAATATTTGCAATAGTTTCTGCCTGCCACCAACAAACTGCCAAATACTTTTGAAGTAGATATGTAAACTACTTTAATGTCAATAGTAAGAGGACACTGGATTTTCAGTTAACTGATTCACTTTAGACATTTCAATAAAAAGGAAAGGAGGATGACATGATTGCTTAGGAATATGGGTTATCTCATAAGAAACTTCAATCAAAATATGTATTTTTCAACATATCACTTATCATGATATACCCTGATGCTTTAATTTTTTTTTTAGTGGACCTAATCGTGGGCATTATATTACCATTGTAAAAAGTCATGGATTTTGGCTTTTGTTTGATGATGACATTGTAGAGGTCAGTATGCTAATATTGATTATGACTATTAGCAATGCACTTGTTCACTTATCCATTTTCTGGCCACGTTGCACTGACTGCTCACACTCAGTGTGCTATTGACTAAAATCCCCTCGTCTTTGTTTCTCTACTTCTGTTTTCAACTGATAAGCCTCCAAGAGTATAGTAGCAATTCTTGTTATTCATTCCTGTGTGCTTGACTTCACACTATTACATTTCATCCATTAAATTCTGACCTTGATCTGGGTTTAGATTGTAATTCTGTAAAAAGGCAGTGTGTGTTGTGATGTAGTTTTGGTTCGGGTTCATCTCTATTAAAAAGTAAGATTATGAACAAAAGGATTAAACCTGAAATGGTTACTTGAGAACAACTCCCATTGATGTTAACAGTGTTAATTTTCTCTCAGATAAACATAAAATGTTTTTAGACCAGATATTTATTTTATTTTTGAATGGTTTTCTAAATCTAATCTAGTCAAGTTAAAATACATTAAAACCTATGGCTAAGTGCAGACATTCTGGGAGGTTAGGGGGGGCGGGTTAGATCATGTTAAAAATGGCCACTTGATCTAAGGATAGTCAGGATGGAGTGGTACTGGGGGGTGGTTGGAGGGGCAAACAGGTTTGGGGGAGATTGGGGGTATGTGGAAGGGATGTGGGGGAACAGGCAGGATCCATGGAAGC